ACTAGCGCTGCATCTGCGTTTCTTCATAACTACGACTAGTGCTGCATCTGCGTTTCTTCATAACTACGACTAGCGCTGCATCTGCGTTTCTTCATAACTACGACTAGCGCTGCATCTGCGTTTCTTCATAACTACGACTAGCGCTGCATCTGCGTTTCTTCATAACTACGACTAGTGCTGCATCTGCGTTTCTTCATAACTACGACTAGCGCTGCATCTGCGTTTCTTCATAACTACGACTAGCGCTGCATCTGCGTTTCTTCATAACTACGACTAGCGCTGCATCTGCGTTTCTTCATAACTACGACTAGCGCTGCATCTGCGTTTCTTCATAACTACGACTAGCGCTGCATCTGCGTTTCTTCATAACTACGACTAGCGCTGCATCTGCGTTTCTTCATAACTACGACTAGTGCTGCATCTGCGTTTCTTCATAACTACGACTAGCGCTGCATCTGCGTTTCTTCATAACTACGACTAGCGCTGCATCTGCGTTTCTTCATAACTACGACTAGCGCTGCATCTGCGTTTCTTCATAACTACGACTAGCGCTGCATCTGCGTTTCTTCATAACTACGACTAGCGCTGCATCTGCCTTTCTTCATAACTACGACTAGCGCTGCATCTGCGTTTCTTCACAACTACGACTAGTGCTGCATCTGCACGCAGCCCTTCCCGCGGTCAAAACGGCCTCCGACGGCGTAGCTCACGCAACTATCTGCACGTGCGACACACAGAGAGAGAGAGAGCTCTCAACGGCGGAACTCCGGGCCCACACGCCACACCCCGGCTCCGACCGGAGCGCGGAAGATGGCCCCCCAGGCTGCAGGCCGGACGTCGCCCCTCCAGGGCCACGTTCCTCGGCCTGTGCTTGCACGGCGAGCTCGGCGTGGCCGAGGAGCAACGTCGACCGGGCCCCCCCCCCCCCCCCCACTGAAGATGTCGGGGGGCTCCGTCGCCCTTCGGGTATCCAAAGATGCGGACCGTCGGGGGGGGGTGGGGGGGCGGCGGGGGGGGGGGGAGAGAAGTTGGAGACTGAACCGCCTCAGGGAAGATGTTTCCCCAGGACCTTGAACGCAGCGAGGTCCAGGCTCTCGGGCTCCGCGTATCGGCGCGGCACCGTCGCCGCCTTGCCGCAGGACCGGCAAATCCGGGGGGACGCGCCGGTGAAGGCGGCACCGGCGCCGGTGAAGGCTCCGGCCGAGGTCGCCGACGCGGCCGTACTCCGGGCTGGAGTGGAGCCGCCTCCGGCGAGGCCTCTCCGGAGAGACGCGCCGGGGCTGGGGGCTCTCCTCCAGGCGTGGCGCCTTGTGGCTCCTCCTCAGGGTGTGTCCTGTTGGTGGGACCGGACCGCGCGGGAGTGGAGCTCCTCCTCCTCCTCCTCCTCCTCCTCCTCCTCCTCCTCCTCCTCCTTCCTTCCCTCCCTTCCTCTTGACGTTAGCGAAGAGCCGCCTCCGGCAGGTCTCCCGGCGGCCACGGGGTCGCGGTCCGCCTCCGTTTGTCGGCACTGGCGACGCGGCTGCACGACGGAGAGCTCCGGTGGAGGGGGATCGAGAGGGGCCTCGTCATCCCCTGCCGCTGAGAAGGCCCCCTTGGCTTCGGGCCAGGATCCCCGGGCGGCCACCCGGAGCGACTGCGGCCCCGCCCACTGTCTCTGCGGGGGCCCCAATGTCTGCCGGTCCGAGCCACCGGCCTCCGTGTTTCGGGCTCCGCCAGATCTCCCGTCCCGGCGAGCCGCGCGTTGGCGAGGCGCCTCTCCGTGCCAGGGGCGGTGGTGGCGGTGGTGGTGGTGGTGGTGGTGGTGGTGGTGGATGGCAGTGCTTTGTCTGCGGGGTTCCTGAGGATCGGTTCGAAGACCAGATCCTCGGCCGGTCGCGGTTGGTTCAGCCTCCTGATGGCGAGGGAGCTCCGTGTCTTCAGGACGCTCCTCCTGTAGAAGGGTGGCAGCTTGCCCCAGTGGGAGGCCCTGCAAGTCCACGTAGAATAGTCGCTTGGAGCACTGCAGACCCCCCTCCCCCCCAGCTGTTTCAGGAGGAAGGAGGCCGAGACGCTCCAGGCCCGTGCAGGAACTTTTGCGTGGCCTTGCGGTCGGAAGGTGGCCAGCCGACCCCGCACACAAACACACACACACACACCGGCCCGTGACCGCCCTCTCGTCCAGTGGCAGGGCCAGGACCCCAGCCGCGACCTCGGCATCCTCCGCCCGCCCGGAGGGAAGTCGAGGACTCGCTTCGTGTCACCGGCTGGGTTCACCGCCAACGTCTTTGTCCTGAGGGTGAGCAACTTGCACAGGCGACTCCGGGTGCCCCCAGCCGCTCCTTCGCCTTCTCTCCCCCCCCCGGCTCGGCCAGGTTCCTCCGCGGCGGTTCCTCCTCTGGTCCGAGGAAGACCCCACCGGGTTTCCACGGCAGCGATGTGGCGACGCCGATTCGACGGCTTTTGCCTTCTCGCTCCAACCGGCGGTGCCCCGCCTGTGCTTTTTTGCCAAGTTCATTTTTTTTGGACGAGGAGGCCTTTCGAAAAAGACCTCCCGGCACTCGCGACGTCAGCCAGCGAGTGCAGGATGAGGAGGAGGAGGAGGAGGGCGACGTCGGGATCCAACTGGACGCTTGGTTTCCCTCAGCACCGGGCCGCTGAGTCTCCGCCTCACGAGACTCAGGAAAGGCTCCACAGCCAGGGCATGAAGTTGGCCCGACGATTTGGCATCCCCGTCTCACTCCTCGCTCGAATTTGACCGGGGGGGTGGGGGGGGCGGTGGTGGTGGTGGTGCGGTGAGGGCGCCGCTGATCTTTGATCAAGCACTCCGCCTCGGTGTAGAGCAGGCGGATCGTTCGGGCGAAGGCATCCCCCAAAACCCAAGGTCTTGAGGGTTCCCAGCAGGTGCCTTGTGGTGGTCCACTCTGTGAAAAGCCTTCTCCTGGTCAAGCGCCAGAGAGGCGATTTGGGATGCCCAACCTCTGGGACACCACCGCGATGAGGTCCCTGGCCAGGAAGGTGCCGTCGTGGATGGTGATTCGTCCGGGGGATGGTGCAGGACTGGGTCCCCGTTTATGACTTGTGCAATCACGACCTTTCAGTCGCAGGGAGAGAGAGAGAGAGAGAGCCTTCGTCAATATTTTGTAGTAGTCTGAGTTCAGGAGGGAGAGCGGACGCCAGTTTTGTGGGTGCCTCAGGTTGGGAAGCAGAGTGAGCACCACCCCCCTACAAGACTCTCTCTCCCCTCCCACCCACTCTCCCCACTCTTCCACCCACACTCTCTCCCCACCCACCCAATCTCCCCACTCTCCCACCCACACTCTCTCCCCACCCACACACTCTCCCCACCCACACTCTCTCCCCACCCACCCACTCTCCCCACCCACCCACCCACACTCTCTCCCCACCCACCCACTCTCCCCACCCACCCACCCACACTCTCTCCCCAGTCACCCACCCTCCCCACTCTTCCACCCACACTCTCTCCCCACCCACCCACTCTCCCCACTCTTCCACCCACACTCTCTCCCCACCCACCCACTCTCCCCACTCGCCCACCCACACTCTCTCCCCACCCACTCTCCCCTACCACCCCCCCCCCCCTCTCTCCCCACCCTCCCACCCACCCTCTCTCCCCACCCTCCCACCCTCTCTCCCCACCCACCCACTCTCCCCACTCTTCCACCCACACTCTCTCCCCACCCACCCACTCTCCCCACTCGCCCACCCACACTCTCTCCCCACCCACTCTCCCCTACCACCCCCCCCCCTCTCTCCCCACCCTCCCACCCACCCTCTCTCCCCACCCTCCCACCCTCCCTCCCCACCCTCCACTCTCTCCCCACCCTCCCTCCCCACCCTCCCTCCCCACCCTCTCTCCCCACCCTCCCACCCTCCCTCCCCACCCTCCCACCCTCCCTCCCCACCCTCTCTCCCCACCCTCCCTCCCCACCCTCTCTCCCCACCCTCCACTCTCTCCCCACCCTCCCACCCTCTCTCCCCACCCTCCCACCCCCTCCCACCCACCCTCTCTCCCCACCCTCCACTCTCTCCCCACCCTCCCACCCCTCCCACCCACCCTCTCTCCCCACCCTCCCACCCACCCACTCCGCTACGCCCCCTCCTCCCCCCACCCCTAGGCCCCCGACTCGCGAGGTTTTTTATCTCCCGCGAGGCATCTCTGGGGAGCTCTCACTCGCAGCTCCACGCAGAGAGAGTGGGGAGAGTGGGGAGAGTGGGGAGAGAGATAGTGGGGAGAGTGGGGAGAGAGAGTGGGGAGTGGGGAGAGTGGGGAGAGTGGGGAGAGAGAGTGGGGAGAGTGGGGAGAGAGATAGAGAGAGTGGGGAGAGAGAGATAGAGAGAGTGGGGAGAGTGGAGAGAGTGGGGAGAGAGAGAGATAGAGAGAGTGGGGAGAGTGGGGAGAGTGGGGAGAGAGATAGTGGGGAGAGTGGGGAGAGTGGGGGGAGAGAGAGAGATAGAGAGAGTGGGGAGAGAGAGAGTGGGGAGAGTGGGGAGAGTGGGGAGCTCTCACTCGCAGCTCCACGCAGAGAGAGTGGGGGGAGTGTGGGGAGAGAGTGGGGAGAGAGAGAGATAGTGGGGAGAGTGGGGAGAGAGATAGTGGGGAGAGTGGGGAGAGTGGGGAGAGAGAGATAGTGGGGAGAGTGGGGAGAGAGATAGTGATAGTGGGGAGAGTGGGGAGAGAGATAGTGATAGTGGGGAGAGTGGGGAGAGTGGGGAGAGTGGGGTGAGATAGATAGTGGGGAGAGAGATAGTGATAGTGGGGAGAGTGGGGAGAGAGATAGTGGGGAGAGTGGGGAGCTCTCACTCGCAGCTCCACGCAGAGATAGTGGGGGGAGAGTGGGGGGAGAGAGATAGTTGGGAGAGAGATAGTGGGGGGAGAGATAGTGGGGAGAGAGATAGTGGGGGGAGAGATAGTGGGGGGAGAGATAGTGGGGGGAGAGATAGTGGGGAGAGAGATATTGGGGGGAGAGATAGCGGGGGGAGAGATAGTGGGGGGAGAGATAGTGGGGGGAGAGATAGTGGGGGGAGATGGAGTCTGGGATGAGGCATCAACAGCATCAGCGTCCACGTCGGCCAGACTACACGCGGGTAACTTTACACAGCAGACAACACACACGGAGACACTCTGGGTGTGAGTGAGTGTGTGTGTCACTCTGTGTGTGTGACACTCTGGGTGTGTGTGTGTCACTGTGTGTGTGTCACTCTGTGTGTGAGTGTGTCACTGTGTCACTCTGTGTGTGTCACTCTGTGTGTGTGAGTGTGTGTCACTCTGTGTGTGACACTCTGTGTGTGTGTGTCACTCTGTGTGTGTGTCACTCTGTGTGTGTGATTGTGTGTGTGTCACTTTGTGTGTGTGTGTGTCACTCTGTGTGTGTCACTCTGTGTGTGTGATTGTGTGTGTGTCACTCTGTGTGTGTGTGTCACTCTGTGTGTGATTGTGTGTGTGAGTGTGTGTCACTGTGTCACTGTGTGTGTGTCACTCTGTGTGTGTGTGTCACTCTGTGTGTGTTTGTGTCACTGTGTGTGTGTGTGTCACTGTGTGTGTTTCACTGTGTGTGTGTCACTGTGTGTGTGTGTGTCACTCTGTGTGTGTCACTCTGTGTGTGTCACTGTGTGAGTGTGTCACTCTGTGTGTGTGTGTCACTGTGTGACTCTGTGTGTGAGTGTGTGTCTGTCTGTGTGTGTGTCTGTGTGTGTGTCTGTGTGTGTGTGTCACTGTGTGTCACTGTGTGTGTGTGACACACACACCCCCTTAATGGAGCATCTTCGCCGGTTAGAAACATTTAAGCTGGCCTGCCTACGATCCATCCTGGCTTTAACCTGCAGGCTGGATTGTGTGAGGAGCTCACAAATCCTTGAAAGGTCTGGGCAAGGTCCCATCGGTGAGCTCCTCCGGCAGGCAAGGCTGCGATGGCTGGGTCATGTAGCCCGCATGCCCAGCCACCGCATGCCGAAACAGCTTTTGTTCGGCCGGATAGAGAGGGCTAAACGGGCAAGGCACTGGCTAGAGAAGAGATGGAGTGATGTGGTACAGGAGGACGTGGAGCTGAGTGGACTTGCCGATGACTGGTACCAGCGGTGTCAAGATCGGCCTCTGTGGAGGAGGCTCGTGAAGGATGCTACTGGGCAGTTGGAGGCAGTCGCCCTCCAACAACAACGGAGGGCGGAGGAGCGACGCTCACAACAGCGAGCGGAGCGCCGGGTGGCTAAAGCACAGCAGGTTGGCACAGTAGGGGGCACAGGTGGTGCATCAGCCAGTCATCTCAGTCAGTCGACCCGTGGCACCTGGGTCTGCCCCGTGACCTCCTGCCAGCGGGCGTTCGACACTTCACGTGGCCTCAGGGTGCACATAGCCTGGCACAAGCGTCGTGGTGACGTCACCGCCACTTAGTGGCGAATGGCGGTTGTTGTTGTTGTTGTGTTACTGTGTGTGTCACTGTGTGTGTCACTGTGTGTGTATGACTGTGTGTGTGTCACTGTGTGTGTGTCACTGTGTGTGTGTGACTGTGTGTGTGTCACTGTGTGTGTCACTGTGTGTGTGACTGTGTGTGTGTGACTGTGTGTGTGTGTCACTGTGTGTGTCACTGTGTGTGTGTGTGACTGTGTGTGTGTCACTGTGTGTGTCACTGTGTGTGTCACTGTGTGTGTCACTGTGTGTGTGTGTCACTGTGTGTCACTGTGTGTGTGTGACTGTGTGTGTGTGTGACTGTGTGTGTGTCACTGTGTGTGTCACTGTGTGTGTGACTGTGTGTGTGTGTGACTGTGTGTGTGTGTCACTGTGTGTGTCACTGTGTGTGTGTGACTGTGTGTGTGTGTCACTGTGTGTGTCACTGTGTGTGTGTGTCACTGTGTGTCACTGTGTGTGTGTGTCTGTGTGTGTGTCACTGTGTGTGTGTGTCACTGTGTGTGTGTGTGTCACTGTGTGTCACTGTGTGTGTGTCACCGTGTGTGTCACTGTGTGTGTGTGTGTCTGTGTGTGTGTGTGACTGTGTGTGTGTGTGTGTCACTGTGTGTGTCACTGTGTGTGTGTCACTGTGTGACTGTGTGTGTCACTGTGTGTGTGTCACTGTGTGTGTGTCACTGTGTGTGTCACTGTGTGTGTGTCACTGTGTGTGTGTTACTGTGTGTGTGTGACTGTGTGTGTCACTGTGTGTGTGTCACTGTGTGTGTGTTACTGTGTGTGTGTGACTGTGTGTGTCACTGTGTGTGTGTCACTGTGTGTGTGTCACTGTGTGTGTCTGTGTGTGTGTGACTGTGTCTGTGTGTGACTGTGTGTGTGTGTCACTATGTGTGTGTCACTGTGTGTGTCACTGTGTGTGTGTCACTGTGTGTGTGTGTGACTGTGTGTGTGTGACTGTGTGTGACTGTGTGTGTCACTGTGTGTGTGTCACTGTGTGTGTCACTGTGTGTGTGTCACTGTGTGTGTGTGACTGTGTGTGTGTGTGTGTCTGTGTGTGTGTCACTGTATGTGTGTGACTGTGTGTGTGTGTCACTGTGTGTGTCACTGTGTGTGTCACTGTGTGTGTGTGTGACTGTGTGTGTGTGACTGTGTGTGTCACTGTGTGTGTGTCACTGTGTGTGTGTGTGACTGTGTGTGTGTCACTGTGTGTGTCACTGTGTGTGTGTCACTGTGTGTGTGTGACTGTGTGTGTGTGTGACTGTGTGTGTGTCACTGTGTGTGTGTCACTGTGTGTGTGTGACTGTGTGTCTGTGTGTGTGTCACTGTGTGTGTCACTGTGTGTGTGTGACTGTGTGTGTGTGTGACTGTGTGTGTGTGTCACTGTGTGTGTGTCACTGTGTGTGTGTGTCACTGTGTGTGTGACTGTGTGTGTGTCACTGTGTGTGTGTGACTGTGTGTGTGTGACTGTGTGTGACTGTGTGACTGTGTGTGTCACTGTGTGTGTGTGTGTCACTGTGTGTGTCACTGTGTGTGTGTCACTGTGTGTGTGTCTGTGTGTGTGTGTCACTGTGTGTGTGTCTGTGTGTGTGTCACTGTGTGTCACTGTGTGTGTGTATCACTGTGTGTGTCACTGTGTGTGTCACTGTGTGTGTGACTGTGTGTGACTGTGTGTGTGTGTCTGTGTGTGTGTCACTGTGTGTGTGTATGTCACTGTGTGTGTGTCACTGTGTGTGTCACTGTGTGTGTGTGACTGTGTGTGTCACTGTCTGTGTGTCACTGTGTGTGTGTCACTGTGTGTGTCACTGTGTGTGTCACTGTGTGTCACTGTGACTGTGTCACTGTGTGTGTGTCACTGTGTGTGTGTCACTGTGTGTGACTGTGTGTGTGTCACTGTGTGTGTGTGTGTCACTGTGTGTGTGTCACTGTGTGTGTCACTGTGTGTGTTACTGTGTGTGTGTGTGTCACTGTGTGTGTCTGTGTGTGTGACTGTGTCACTGTGTGTGTGTCTGTGTGTGTGTGTCTGTGTGTCACTGTGTGTGTGTCTACAGCTCTCTAAGCCAGTGATCGAGAAGAAGCGAAGAGCGAGAATTAACCACAGCCTGAGGCAGCTGCAGCAAATCCTAACAACTCACTTCCATACACAGGTACTCAACTCTCTCTGTCTCTCTGTGTGTCTCTGTCTCTCTGTGTCTGTGTGTGTCTGTGTGTGTGTCTCTGTGTCTCTGTGTGTCTCTGTCTCTGTGTGTGTCTCTGTGTGTCTCTGTCTGTGTGTCTCTGTGTCTCTGTGTGTCTCTGTCTCTGTGTGTGTCTCTGTGTGTCTCTGTCTGTGTGTCTCTGTGTGTCTCTCTGTCTCTGTGTCTCTGTGTGTCTCTGTCTCTGTGTCTCTCTCTGTGTCTGTGTGTCTCTCTGTGTGTCTCTGTGTGTCTCTCTGTGTCTGTGTCTCTGTGTGTCTCTGTGTTTCTGTGTGTCTCTGTCTGTGTGTCTCTCTGTCTGTCTCTGTGTGTCTGTGTGTGTCTCTCTGTGTGTCTCTCTGTCTCTGTCTGTCTCTCTGTGTCTCTGTGTGTCTCTGTGTGTGTCTGTGTGTCTGTGTGTCTGCGTGTCTCTGTGTGTGTCACTGTGTGTCTTTGTGTGTCACTGTGTGTCTCTGTCTGTGTCTCTGTCTGTGTCTCTCTGTCTCGGTGTCTCTCTCCGTGTGTGTCTCTCTCTGTCTCTCTCTGTCTCTGTGTGTCTCTGTGTGGCTGTCTGTGTGTCTTTGTGTGTGTCTGTGTCTCTCTCCGTGTGTCTCTCTGTCTGTCTCCATGTGTGTCCCTGTGTGTGTCCCTGTGTGTCTCTCTGTCTCTGTGTGTCTCTTTGTGTCTGTGTGTCTCTGTGTGTGTCTGTGTCTCTCTCCGTGTGTCGCTCTCTCTGTCTCTTTGTGTCCCTGTGTGTCTATCTGCGTGTCTCTGTGTGTCTGTGTCTCTCTCCGTGTGTCTCTCTGTCTGTCTCCGTGTGTGTCCCTGTGTGTGTCTCTGTGTGTCTATCTGCGTGTCTATGTGTGTCTCTGTGTGTCTGTCTGTGTGTCTCTGGGTGTGTCTGTGTCTCTCTGTGTGTGTCTCTCTCTCTGTGTGTCCCTGTGTGACTATCTGCGTGTCTCTGTGTGTATCTGTGTGTCTGTCCGTGTGTCTTTGTGTGTGTCTGTGTCTCTCTCCGTGTGTCTCTCTCTGTGTGTGTCTCTGTGTGTCTCTGTGTGTGTCTGTGTCTCTCTCCGTATGTGTCTCTCTCTCTGTGTCCTTGTGTGTCTCTGTCTGTGTCTCTGTCTGTGTCTCTCTGTCTCGGTGTCTCTCTGTCTCTGTGTGTCTATCTGCGTGTCTATGTGTGTCTCTGTGTGTCTCTCTGTGTGTCTCTCTGTCTCTGTGTGTCTGTGTGTGTCTGTGTCTCTCTCCGTGTGTCTCTCTCTCTCTCTGTGTCCCTGTGTGTCTATCTGCGTGTCTCTGTGTGTCTCTGTGTGTCTGTCTGTGTGTCTCTGTGTGTGTCTGTGTCTCTCTCCGTGTGTCTCTCTCTCTCTCTGTGTGTCTCTGTGTGTCTCTGTGTGTGTCTGTGTCTCTCTCCGTGTGTGTCTCTCTCTCTGTGTGTCCCTGTGTGTCTATCTGCGTGTCTCTGTGTGTCTCTGTGTGTCTGTCTGTGTGTCTCTGTGTGTGTCTGTGTCTCTCTCCGTGTGTGTCTCTTTCTGTGTATCTCTGTGTGTCTCTGTGTGTCTGTCTGTGTGTGTCTGTGTCTCTCTCCGTGTGTCTCTCTCTGTGTATCTCTGTGTGTCTCTGTGTGTCTCTGTGTGTGTCTCTCTCCGTCTGTCTCTGTGTGTCTGTGTCTCTCTCCGTGTGTCTCTCTCTCTCTGTGTCCCTGTGTGTCTATCTGTGTGTCTCTCTGTGTCTCTCTGTGTGTCTGTCTGTGTCTCTCTGTGTGTCTCTGTGTTTCTGTCTGTGTCTCTCTGTGTGTCTCTGTGTGTCTATCTGTGTGTGTCTCTCTCTGTGTGTCTCTCTCTCTGTGTCTCTGTGTGTCTCTGTGTGTCTGTCTGTGTCTCTCTGTGTGTCTATCTGTGTGTCTCTGTGTGTCTATCTGTGTGTCTATCTGTGTGTCTCTGTGTGTGTCTGTGTGTCTCTCTCTCTGTGTCTCTGTGTGTCTATCTGTGTGTCTCTGTGTGTCTCTGTGTGTCTCTCTGTGTGTCTGTCTGTGTCTCTCTGTGTGTCTCTGTGTGTCTCTCTCTCTGTCTGTCCCTGTGTGTCTATCTGTGTGTCTCTGTGTGTCTGTCTGTGTGTCTCTGTGTGTCTCTCTCCGTGTGTCTCTCTGTCTGTCTCCGTGTCTGTCTCTGACCACGTGCTCAGCCCTCGCATCACAAATCCACCACGAGTTTCGGCCGCCATTTTAATTCGCCCCTCCCCTCCCCCTTTACCTTTCCCCCCTCCTGCGTTCCCATTCGCTGCCGCCGCCCAGCGTCACCGGAAGCGGAAGTTGGAGAAGGCGGACATCTTGGAGCTGGCGGTGCGACAGTTGCAGGAAGTGGTGCTGCTCACTTCCGGTCAGGTTCCTACCGCTGGTGCCAGGCTAGGTGCATGGGGAGGAGGTCACGTGACAGACCCAGCAGGTGCCGTGGGTTGTGCTGCTGGTGCCAGGCTAGGTGCATGGGGAGGAGGTCACGTGACAGACCCTGCAGGTGCCATGGGGTTGTACTGCTGGTGCCAGGCTAGGTGCATGGGGAGGAGGTCACGTGACAGACCCAGCAGGTGCCATGGGTTGTACTGCTGGTGCCAGGCTAGGTGCATGGGGAGGAGGTCACGTGACAGACCCAGCAGGTGCCATGGGTTGTGCTGCTGGTGCCAGGCTAGGTGCATGGGGAGGAGGTCACGTGACAGACCCAGCAGGTGCCGTGGGTTGTGCTGCTGGTGCCAGGCTAGGTGCATGGGGAGGAGGTCACGTGACAGACCCAGCAGGTGCCATGGGTTGTACTGCTGGTGCCAGGCTAGGTGCATGGGGAGGAGGTCACGTGACAGACCCTGCAGGTGCCATGGGGTTGTACTGCTGGTGCCAGGCTAGGTGCATGGGGAGGAGGTCACGTGACAGACCCAGCAGGTGCCATGGGTTGTACTGCTGGTGCCAGGCTAGGTGCATGGGGAGGAGGTCACGTGACAGACCCTGCAGGTGCCATGGGGTTGTACTGCTGGTGCCAGGCTAGGTGCATGGGGAGGAGGTCACGTGACAGACCCAGCAGGTGCCATGGGTTGTACTGCTGGTGCCAGGCTAGGTGCATGGGGAGGAGGTCACGTGACAGACCCAGCAGGTGCCATGGGCTGTACTGCTGTGCCAGGCTAGGTGCATGGGGAGGAGGTCACGTGACAGACCCAGCAGGTGCCATGGGTTGTACCGCTGGTGCCAGGCTAGGTGCATGAGGAGAAGGTCACGTGACAGACCCAGCAGGTGCCGTGGGTTGTACTGCTGGTGCCAGGCTAGGTGCATGAGGAGAAGGTCACGTGACAGACCCAGCAGGTGCCATGGGGTTGTACTGCTGGTGCCAGGCTAGGTGCATGGGGAGGAGGTCACGTGACAGACCCTGCAGGTGCCATGGGTTGTACTGCTGGTGCCAGGCTAGGTGCATGGGGAGGAGGTCACGTGACAGACCCAGCAGGTGCCATGGGTTGTGCTGCTGGTGCCAGGCTAGGTGCCAGGCTAGGTGCATGGGGAGGAGGTCACGTGACAGACTCTGCAGGTGCCGTGGGTCGCCATTTCCCCCCACTCACCCCCGCCCCTCCTCCACTCGCCCCTCCCCCCTCCTCCCTTCGCCCCTCCCCCTTCTCTACTCGCCCCTCCCCCCTCTACTCGCTCCTCCCCTCTCCTCCACTCGCCCCTCCCACAGCAGCCGTGACGTCGCTCGCGGCGAGCCCCGCGGCGCCCTGCTGCGGCCTAGCGGATCCCCGGCCTCGCCTGGCCGCTCTGCCCGCCGGGGCGCCACCGAGCCCGGCCAAGGCCGGTGGGTTTTGGCGGCCCTGGTGACGGGCTCTGTCGACCACCGCCACCACCACCACCACCAGCCCCACACCGCCACCACCGCAACGCAGCAGGGTCAACGGCAGTGCAGTACAACAACGTTCCTCCGGCACACCCAGTGGGGAGTGACTTGCTGCAACGCCTGCGATGGTGAGATGTTGACTACCTCGCCGGGTAGACAGGAGGTCGTGGGTTCGATCCCGGACCCTGTGAGATGTTGACTACCTCGCCTGGTATACAGGAGGTCCTGGGTTCAATCCCTGGACCCTGTGAGATGTTGACTACCTCGCCTGGTCTACAGGAGGTCGTGGGTTGGATCCCGGACCCTGTGAGATGTTGACTACCTCGCCTGGTCTACAGGAGGTCGTGGGTTCGATCCCTGGACCCTGTGAGATGTTGACTACCTCGCCTGGTCTACAGGAGGTCGTGGCTTCGATCCTGGACCCTGTGAGATGTTGACTACCTCGCCTGGTCTACAGGAGGTCGTGGCTTCGATCCTGGACCCTGTGAGATGTTGACTACCTCGCCTGGTCTACAGGAGGTCGTGGGTTCGATCCCGGACCCTGTGAAATGTTGACTACCTCGCCTGGTCTACAGGAGGTCGTGGGTTCGATTCCTGGACCCTGTGAGATGTTGACTACCTCGCCTGGTACACAGGAGGTCGTTGGTTCGATCCCGGACCCTGTGAGATGTTGACTACCTCGCCTTGTCTACAGGAGGTCGTGGGTTCGATCCCTGGTCCCTGTGAGATGTTGACTACCTCGCCTGGTACACAGGAGGTCGTGGATTCGATCCCGGACCCTGTGAGATGTTGACTACCTCGCCGGGTCTACAGGAGGTCGTGGGTTCGATCCCTGGACCCTGTGAGATGTTGACTACCTCGCCTGGTACACAGGAGGTCGTGGGTTCGATCCCTGGACCCTGTGAGATGTTGACTACCTCGCCTGGTATACAGGAGGTCGTGGGTTCGATCCCTGGACCCTGTGAGATGTTGACTACCTCGCCTGGTCTACAGGAGAGCGTGGGTTCGATCCCGGACCCTGTGAGATGTTGACTACCTCGCCTGGTATACAGGAGGTTGTGGGTTCGATCCCAGACCCTGTGAGATGTTGACTACCTCGCCTGGTATACAGGAGGTCGTGGGTTCGATCCCTGGACCGTGTGAGATGTTGACAACCTCGCCTGGTCTACAGGAGGTCGTGGGTTCGATCCCTGGACCCTGTGAGATGTTGACTACCTCGCCTGGTCTACAGGAGGTCGTGGGTTCGATCCCTGGACCGTGTGAGATGTTGACAACCTCGCCTGGTCTACAGGAGGTCGTGGGTTCGATCCCTGGACCCTGTGAGATGTTGACTACCTCGCCTGGTCTACAGGAGGTCCTGGGTTCGATCCCGGACCCTGTGAGATGTTGACTACCTCGCCTGGTCTACAGGAGGTCGTGGGTTCGATCCCGGACCCTGTGAGATGTTGACTACCTCGCCTGGTACACAGGAGGTCGTGGGTTCGATCCCGAACCGTGTGAGATGTTGACTACCTCGCCTGGTCTACAGGAGGTCCTGGGTTGGACCCTGCTGATGAGCCCCAACAACGCCAAAACCTTCACTGCAGTACACCCATTGGGGGAGGGATTTGTGTGTGCTGATGATTGATAATTATTTGACGTAAATAATTAGTGGGTTGATTGATAATTAATTCAAGTGTTTGTAAATTAGTCAATTGACTGGTAATTAAGTGATTTGTTAATTGACAGCTGATTAATTGACGCGTTAATTAGTCAAGGTGTTAATTACTTAATGTATTAATTGCTTGCTAATTAATTGATGCGCTAATTCGTTAATTGGTTGCTAATTGATGTGTATATAAATTAGTTGATTGATAATTTACGTGGTTATTAATTAATGTGTTAATTAAGCCGTTTGCTAATTTATTGATGTGTTAATAAATTAGTTGATTGCTAATTAATTGATGCGTGAATTAGTTAATTGACTGATAATTGATGTGTATGTAAATTAGTTGATTGCTAATTAACTGATGCGTGAATTAGTTAATTGATTGATAATTGTAAATTAGTTGATTAATAAATTCATGCGACCGGTTTTTTTTCACCGTCGCTTGACGTACGTCATCGTGTTCTTAGTTGGTGAGTGGTGAGTGAGTGGGTGAGTGAGTGAGTGGGTGAGTGAGTGAGTGGGTGAGTGAGTGAGTGGGTGAGTGAGTGGGTGAGTGGGTCAGTGAGTGAGTGGGTGGGTGAGTGGGTGAGTGAGTGGGTGAGTGGGTGAGTGGGTGAGTGGGTGAGTTGGTGAGTGAGCGAGTGGGTGAGTGGGTGAGTGGGTGGGTGAGTGAGTGGGTGGGTGAGTGGGTGAGTGAGTGGGTGAGTGGGTGAGTGGGTGAGTGAGTGAGTGGGTGAGTGAGTGGGTGAGTGAGTGGGTGAGTGAGTGGGTGGGTGAGTGGGTGAGTGGGTGAGTGAGTGAGTGGGTGAGTGAGTGAGTGGGTGGGTGGGTGAGTGTGTGAGTGAGTGTGTGAGTGGGAGAGTGGGTGAGTGAGTGGGTGAGTGAGTGAGTGGGTGAGTGAGTGGGTGAGTGAGTGGGTGAGTGAGTGGGTGGGTGAGTGGGTGAGTGGGTGAGTGAGTGAGTGGGTGAGTGAGTGAGTGGGTGGGTGGGTGAGTGGGTGGGTGGGTGGGGTGGGTGAGTGGGTGGGTGGGTGTGTGAGTGGGTGGGTGGGTGGGTGAGTGGGTGGGTGGGTGAGTGGGTGGGTGAGTGAGTGTGTGGGTGAGTGGGTGGGTGCGTGAGTGGGTGGGTGGGTGGGTGAGTGAGTGGGTGAGTGGTGAGTGAGTGAGTGGGTGAGTGGGTGAGTGGGTGGGTGAGTGAGTGGGTGAGTGAGTGGGTGGGTGGGTGAGTGGGTGGGTGGGTGGGTGAGTGGGTGGGTGGGTGAGTGGGTGGGTGGGTGAGTGGGTGGGTGGGTGGGTGAGTGGGTGGGTGGGTGAGTGGGTGGGTGAGTGAGTGTGTGGGTGAGTGGGTGGGTGGGTGAGTGGGTGGGTGAGTGAGTGGGTGGGTGGGTGAGTGGGTGGGTGGGTGAGTGGGTGGGTGGGTGGGTGAGTGGGTGGGTGGGTGAGTGGGTGGGTGAGTGAGTGTGTGGGTGAGTGGGTGGGTGGGTGAGTGGGTGGGTGGGTGGGTGAGTGAGTGGGTGAGTGGGTGGGTGAGTGAGTGGGTGAGTGAGTGAGTGGGTGGGTGGGTGAGTGGGTGGGTGGGTGGGTGAGTGAGTGGGTGAGTGGGTGGGTGAGTGAGTGGGTGAGTGAGTGAGTGAGTGGGTGAGTGGGTGGGTGAGTGAGTGAGTGGGTGGGTGGGTGAGTGGGTGGGTGGGTGAGTGGGTGGGTGAGTGAGTGTGTGGGTGAGTGAGTGAGTGGGTGAGTGGGTGGGTGGGTGAGTGGGTGGGTGGGTGAGTGAGTGAGTGAGTGGGTGAGTGGGTGGGTGAGTGGGTGAGTGGGTGGGTGAGTGGGTGAGTGGGTGGGTGAGTGGGTGGGTGAGTGAGTGGGTGGGTGAGTGGGTGAGTGGGTGGGTGAGTGAGTGGGTGAGTGAGTGGGTGGGTGGGTGGGTGAGTGGGTGGGTGGGTGAGTGAGTGGGTGGGTGGGTGGGTGGGTGAGTGGGTGGGTGGGTGGGTGAGTGGGTGGGTGGGTGAGTGGGTGAGTGGTGAGTGAGTGAGTGGGTGGGTGAGTGGGTGAGTGGGTGGGTGGGTGAGTGGGTGAGTGGGTGGGTGAGTGAGTGGGTGAGTGAGTGGGTGGGTGGGTGAGTGGGTGGGTGGGTGAGTGAGTGGGTGGGTGGGTGAGTGGGTGGGTGGGTGAGTGGGTGGGTGGGTGGGTGAGTGGGTGGGTGGGTGAGTGGGTGGGTGAGTGAGTGTGTGGGTGAGTGGGTGGGTTGGTGAGTGGGTGGGTGGGTGGGTGAGTGAGTGGGTGAGTGGGTGGGTGAGTGAGTGGGTGAGTGAGTGAGTGAGTGGGTGGGTGGGTGAGTGGATGGGTGGGTGGGTGAGTGAGTGGGTGAGTGGGTGGGTGAGTGAGTGGGTGAGTGAGTGAGTGAGTGGGTGAGTGGGTGGGTGGGTGAGTGAGTGGGTGGGTGGGTGAGTGGGTGGGTGGGTGAGTGGGTGGGTGAGTGAGTGTGTGGGTGAGTGAGTGAGTGGGTGAGTGGGTGGGTGGGTGAGTGGGTGGGTGAGTGAGTGGGTGAGTGAGTGAGTGAGTGGGTGAGTGGGTGGGTGAGTGGGTGAGTGGGTGGGTGAGTGGGTGAGTGGGTGGGTGAGTGGGTGAGTGGGTGGGTGAGTGGGTGAGTGGGTGAGTGGGTGGGTGAGTGGGTGAGTGGGTGAGTGGGTGGGTGAGTGGGTGAGTGAGTGAGTGGGTGAGTGGGTGGGTGGGTGAGTGGGTGGGTGAGTGGGTGAGTGGGTGGGTGGGTGAGTGAGTGAGTGGGTGGGTGGGTGAGTGAGTGAGTGAGTGGGTGGGTGGGTGAATGGGTGAGTGAGTGGGTGAGTGAGTGGGTGAGTGGGTGGTGAGTGAGTGAGTGGTGAGTGGGTGAGTGTGTGATGAGTGGGTGAGTGTGTGGGTGGGTGAGTGGGTGGGTGGGTGAGTGGGTGGGTGGGTGGGTGAGTGAGTGGGTGAGTGGGTGGGTGAGTGAGTGGGTGAGTGAGTGAGTGAGTGGGTGAGTGGGTGGGTGGGTGAGTGAGTGGGTGGGTGGGTGAGTGTGTGGGTGGGTGAGTGGGTGGGTGAGTGAGTGTGTGGGTGAGTGAGTGGGTGAGTGGGTGGGTGGGTGAGTGGGTGGGTGAGTGAGTGGGTGAGTGAGTGAGTGAGTGGGTGAGTGGGTGGGTGAGTGGGTGAGTGGGTGGGTGAGTGGGTGAGTGGGTGAGTGGGTGGGTGAGTGGGTGAGTGGGTGGGTGAGTGGGTGAGTGGGTGGGTGAGTGGGTGAGTGGGTGAGTGGGTGGGTGAGTGGGTGAGTGGGTGGGTGGGTGAGTGGGTGGGTGAGTGGGTGAGTGGGTGGGTGAGTGAGTGAGTGGGTGGGTGGGTGGGTGAGTGGGTGAGTGAGTGGGTGAGTGAGTGGGTGGGTGGGTGGTGAGTGAGTGAGTGGTGAGTGGGTGAGTGAGTGAGTGGGTGAGTGGGTGAGTGAGTGGGTGGGTGGGTAGGTGAGTGGGTGGGTGGGTGAGTGGGTGGGTGAGTGGGTGACTGAGTGGGTGGGTGGGTGGGTGAGTGAGTGAGTGAGTGGGTGGGTGGGTGA